GCCCGGAGATGACCCATCAGAATGGAGAAAATCGAAGAAAAATACAAAAATGACGAAAATGAAAAAAAAAACCAAAAGAAATATGAAGCCAGGAGGAGGAGGAGCCCAAAAAATGCAAGGAAGAGGAAGGCATCAAGGAAATGGGAGAAAATGGTGGGTGGCGTAAAGTCGAGAACCAGAAGGAGAGGAAGAAAAAATAGAAGGAAGATGAAATGAGGAAGAAGGAAGAAGAAGCGAGGAAGAAGGAAAAGAAGAAGATGGAAGACAGGAAGAATAAGGAGAAGCCTAGGCCTCGTAGGGAGAGAAGCAAGGGTGACGCTCTGGTTGTTGAGGTGAGGGACAAAACGTCCTACGCAGCACTCCTCCGAAAAGTGAGAGAGGATCCGGAGTTGAAACAACTAGGCGAGAACGTGGTGAAAACCAGACGAACCCAGAAAGGCGAGATGCTATTTGAGTTCAAAAGGGATCCTACGGTTAAGAGCGCAGCTTTTAAGGAGCTCGTCGAAAAATCTCTTCGCGGGACGGCGAACGTAAGAGCCTTATCCCAGGAGTCAGTGGTCGAGTGCAGGGATCTGGACGAGATCACAACAGAAGACGCATTGAAAAGTGCGCTGAAGGTGCAATGCAACCTCGGAGACGTACCGATGGCAATTCGGTTGAGGAAGGCGTATTGTGGCACGCAGACGGCGTCGATACGACTTCCTTCGCACGCAGTTAACGAGCTGCTGAAGACAGGCCGAATCAACGTTGGGTGGTCAGTGTGCCCGTTGAAAGCTATTCCTCGCGTATCTAAGAAAATGGAGAGATGCTACAAATGCATGGGCTTCGGTCACCAGGCGAGAAACTGCAAAGGCCCAGACAGATCTGTTCTGTGCAGGAAATGCGGAGAGGAGGGGCAAATTGCAAAAGACTGTACAAAGCAACCGAGGTGCATGCTCTGCAAAAAGGAGGACGGAAACAGCCATGTGACGGGAAGTTTCAGGTGCCCAGAGTTCAAGAAGGCGATGGTGGGCCAGCAATAATGAAGGTAACCCAAATAAATCTCAATCATTGCAACACAGCACAGCAACTGTTGTGGCAGTCAACAACGGAAACAAAGTGCGACGTTGTAATCATTGCAAAGCCATATCGAGTCCCTCTCGATAATGGTTACTGGGTGGCGAATAGAGCAGGAATGGCGGCCATACAAGTCATGTGCAGGTATCCCATTCAACAAGTGGTGGCGGGCTCATACGAAGGTTTCGTGATCGCCAAAATCAATGGAATCTATGTATGTAGTTGTTACGCACCCCCGAGATGGACAATTGAGCAGTTCCACCAGATGCTAGATGGGCAGTGATTGGGGGAGCAGATGTACCAACGCAAGAGGGTATAGCCTGCTGGAAGCTCTGGCAAAGTTGAACGTCAGTCTGGCCAACTTAGGAACCATCAGCACCTTCCGCAAAGATGGTAGGGAATCCATTATCGACGTCACTTTCTGCAGTACGTCGCTAATGGCAGTGACCATCAGGCGATCCGGTACAGTATCGGTGAACGGACACCGGTGGAAATGCGGAGGACGAAAGTAAGCGAGCGGAAGTGGAAGACGAAGGCATTCAATAAGGATCTCTTCATCGAAGCTCTAAGGGTAGACAGCAGCGTCCCGGGCCTAAGCGCGAACGTGTTGAACTAATTATTAGCAAGGGCATGTGACACAACTATGCCGAGAAAACTGGACCCAACGAACAGGTGGCGTTCAGTTTACTGGTGGAACGAGGAAATTAGCACCCTCCGTGCTACTTGTCTTCGTACCAGAAGGCGTGTCAGAGAGCAAGAACAGAAGCAGACAGAGAGGAGCGTAGGGTGGTGTTCCGAGAGGCCCGGGCTGCACTGAAACGAAAGATAAAGCTGAGCAAGTCAAATAGTTTCAAGGAGCTGTGCTGCGACGCCGATGCCAACCGCTGGGGCAACGCATACCGAGTTGCGATGGCGAAGATCAGAGGTCCAACGATGCCGGTTGAAATGTGTCACAACAAGCTTATAGTCATCGTGGCGTTGAAGGCGGCGATACAGACGTTCCCGGACATGTTGAGGATGGTTCTGCAGAAATGTCTGGACGAGGGTAAGTTCCCTGATAGGTGGAAGGTACAAAAACTTGTGCTGTTGCCGAAGCCCGGAAAACCGCCGGGGGATCCTGTATCGTATAGGCCAATATGCTTGCTACATACTGTCGGAAAGCTCTTGGAGAGGATCATCCTGAACAGGCTGACGAAATGCACGGAGAGTGAACACGGTTTGTCGGAGAGGCAGTTTGGATTCTGGAAAGGGAGATCGACGGTGGATGCAATTCAGACAGTGATTGACAGAGCAGAGAAAGCTTCCAAACAGAAGCGGAGAGGAAATCGATACTGCGCCGTGATTACGATTGATGTGATGAATGCATTCAATAGCGCCAGCTGGGAGGCCATCGCCAAGGCGCTCCATATAATGAGGGTTCCAGACTACCTCTGCAGGATTCTAAGTAGCTACTTCCAGAACCGGGTCCTGGTCTACGTGACAGACACGGGGCAGAAATCGCTTAAAATCACGGCGGGAGATCCACAAGGCTCCATTCTAGGTCCCACGCTGTGGAACGGAATGTACAATGGCGTGCTGACGCTCAAGCTGCCCAAAGGAGTTGAGATCGTTGGCTTTGCAGACGATGTCGTCTTGACGGTATCCGGTGAGACGCTGGAAGAAGTGGAAATGCTGGCGGCCGAGGCGATGGATACGATTGGTAACTGGATGCAAGGAGCGAAGATGCAGATAGCCCACCACAAAACAAAAGTAATGTTGGTCAGTAACTGCAAAGCAGTGCAGCGGGCAGAAATCACCGTTGGAGAGCACACCATTGTTTCGAAGCGCGTGCTGAAGTATCTGGGAGTGATGATCGACGACCGGCTAAGTTTTAACAGCCACATCGTATATGGTTGCGAGAAGGCGGCGAAGGTCATCAACGCAATAGCCAGAATCATGCCGAACAATTCTGGTCCAAGCAGCAGCAAGAGGCGTCTTCTGGCTGGTGTGTCCTCATCGATACTAAGGTATGGAGTTCCAGCCTGGATTGAAGCGCTGAAAAGGAAGCAGAACCAAAGGAAATTGAGCAGTGCGTTCCGGCTCATGGCCATGTGAGTCGTGAGTGCGTACAGAACGATTTCGATGGAGGCAGTATGTGTTATCGCCGGTATGATCCCAATCGGCATAACCTTGGCGGAGGACTACGAATGCTATATGACGAGAGAAACCAGAGGAGTACGAAAAATGGTGAGAACGGTGTCGATGGCTAAGTGGCAGCAGGAGTGGGATGCAGCAGAGAACGGTAGATGGACACACAGGTAAATTTATTGATCATTAGTTTTTGTTGTTAATTAAGCATACATAATATGAAATTAGGTGCAAATTATTACATATGCACTTTCGTTGTTACCTCAAACTTGACAAACATCCTTATGGGACTGATATGCGATTATGGTGCTATCAATAGGGCTATCAAAACAAATATTTCAATTCCATTGCTGTTTACAGATTGAAAATTAAACTTAAATTTGGCAACACTGTTTTTATTTTATTATTTCATATTTATTTACGTCATAAAACATTTGAAACAATAGGCGAAAAATAAGTTCTCTTACTTAGAAAAGTGAGCGAAAAGAAAATTGAAAAACACTTTTTTTTTCTTCTTATAATTCTTGACATTCTGTGTTTCAGGAAATACGAAAATTACTTTTTGTCGGAAAGTGATTCTTATGTAAGAAATGATGGGGAACATGATGGAGCTGTCAGATTGGAAATCTAAATATACTCATTCTGAGAAAATTGTATTTTCAGCTTTTAAACGCATAGGGGAAATGGGTCTAATGTTGGCCTATGGATCTAAGATTGGGCCCATCGCTAAAAATCTGCTATTTATCAATTTTATCAAGATAAACGCGTCATTGGGACGGTACCAATGAATATTTTTGGTCGCTATTGAAATTTAGTCGATTGCTGAATTTACGTTTAGGCCCAAATTAGGGGCATTTAAGTAGGCCGACTTTACAGCCATTTCCTCTATATTACATTTTTGGCAACACTGTACAAAAATAACAAATAATAATTATATTTTATTTGTCTAATTTTTCTCATAAAAACACTGTAAATGTTAATTGTAGCTTTAAATGTTCCGTAGATATAGATAAAAGAAATTAATGCTTCTTGAAAATCACGAAAAATATAAAATGCTCCCTTGAACCGAGGGGTGCTTCGATCGTCCCAAAAACATGGACTCTTGGTCTAAATCGGAAGAGGTAAACTCACTTGCCTCGGACGCTTGGCGCGGAATAACCCATATTCCAAGTGGATTTCGAATTCAAGCAGCTCCAATGAATAAATTAATCGACAAAGTTGAAAAATATGTTTCTCTTCCTATGCTCGAAAATTTCTGCCCTCATAACTCTTTTGATGGTTCCTCTTTTCATCACCAGAGGCTCGCTTAACTTCTCTTCGATGCGTCTATTAACTGACGCGATTTGAGCAGGTACTTCTCCACAGAAATACATATGAAAGCCAAGGCCTATATTGAACTCTGATTTGCATCATTCATTCATGTTTAAATCTGATGAATATACATATTGGGAAAAGAATATGCGAAATTCATCACAATACACACAGCACGCCCTCGTGATTTTTTAGTTGCAATAATGTTCATCCTTGGTGCTTATTGGATACCCTTTGTTACTAACAATGCCTGTAAAATAAGCCATTAATAATCTTTGGCAATTCAATGTTAATTGAGTAGAAATAATGTTAAGTGATCACTGATACAGGAACAAACTCATGTATTCCGACTTTCTTCTACGCTATTTCCAATGCCTCTTTCTATGGCGTTATCAGTAGAATTTCCAATACGAATGAACACCAAACAAAATTGATAAGACATCACTGTAAATGTATGCTTATTATAAGCTTCTTTCCAGAGATTAAGGATTTTAGTGGTAATTCAACATTGTTTGAAGTCGGTCGTATTTCCTTTCTCCCGGGAACACAAGCCGTATCCAAGAAATAGTGAAATATTATAGTTGTACCCATTATTTTAGAAACAAAAGAAGGATTTATGCACGATGACAGAGTTAAAGTCGATTATTAATTATCAAAATGCTACTCAGCAGCAGCTTGCTACTGGTATACCTCAACAGAGTTCTCTAAACAACAGTTCTCATCAGAACAACTCGTCAACTACGCCAAATTCTATAAAGTCTCTAAAGAAACAAACAAGTGCACTGGATAACATAGTTTTTCATCTAGGGATCAGGAAATCAGATAGTGATGAAGCCGACGATCGGAATCTTTATGTAACTCTACTGTGTAAGTTGATAATCGTTCGACCTCGTCAAACAAGTGTAATTAAATTGTACAGTGGCAGAGTAAATGGTGCAGGTTGTCAAATTCCCACGATTCGATCGTATTGAATTGCAATTCAATTACCATACAAAACACTCGCAGCTGAGAGAAGAAACATGTGCGCATTTTGGCCGTTATCAAGAACATATGATTATTTGCCGATGCCAGTGTTATGACCTTTTCTTATCAATTATTCTTCTTCGTGAAGTATATAGTATGTTAAGCACGCATGTTCTTTGTAAGAAAAGAAACTTGCGTAACCCTATCGGAGTATTCTATTGTAGATTTAACCACATGTTTTCTGGTAGGAAGTCAAAATCGAATGATTTTGTGTATACGTTAAAGGATAGTGCAGCGCAGTTCATCTAAAAATGTATGTACATATTGACAAAAGTGCACCAATCCATGCGTATATCAATAAGTAATCATGTGTCAGTAAACTCAAGTGTTTGTCTATCATATCATCTCGAGATAATAGTTGATGATGATGACTGGATAAAGCACATCTCGGAGTAAACAGGAATTTGTTTTATTTTATCGTCGTAAAACTACTTACTTATGCATACATTTAAGCGTATACGTTTGCAGACTTTAATGAAGATTAATTCAATGTAAGCTTTCATAACATTACATAAAATCCATCGTATTAAAAATTAAAAAGCAAAACTATGCTGGAAGCTGCAAGTTCGATTCCCGAGGCAATCGACGATATTTCAGCATGGTCTATATTTTATTTCGCTGAATCTCATGATGGACTAGCTTGAATGTCGAAACCAACAGAATATATTATGTTTAAGATCACTGTTACATATCTGCCAGGGTTTGGGAAATACATAGTTAATCCTTGTTACATTTTATTATTAGTTGAATACGGCAAAACTCTAGTCCCTGTGCCTGTATCTAGAAAAATGTTGACACAAGAAAAAATGGGTTAGCTTTACTAATCTTCTATGCGTTCTTCTCTAGTTTAAAGTGGAATGGACTTCCTATCTTGAAACAAGATAAGGACGCCAACTATTGATTACAATGCGAACTTATTTTGTTGCTGTGTAGTCCTTGGTTTGGTTGCAGTAGGAAATGTATGGTGGTGACCATGCATCCTTGGTTGCATCCAGGAGTTGAAACGGTTGACGTTTTTTTTACTACACACGCTTCGTTGTCGTTCGCGAAAGTCTGTTTGAATTTATACTTTCAAGCTCTACCGTCGTCTCTCCTACACTACACAAACGGTAGAACAACATTCGAGCAAAAAGAAAATTATCAAATAACTATTATATGACATGTGTGATTTCGTTCTAATATCCAATTTGGTGTAAATTAAACCATTTCTGTTCAGATGTATGTTTTGTTAGTGTTGGAAGCAAAGGCAGTCGATTATTACAGAAAATGTGTCGACTACGGTGACCGCTTACAAGACTGGTTGCATCTATGCTAACTTTGCTCTTCTGCAATAGGTCTGTTTCCGTACTTACTTCTCTGTACAGCAAAAAGCTAAAGTATGTTGCCCTACTTGCTGCACCATATTATTTTCTTACAGCAACTTATAGAAAGCTGTAGCAACATACTGAAAAAGCAAAAAAGCAAGTACAGGATCAGGAAAAGTACACACCTTTTTTAACTCTTTATTTGTTCCAAATTCAAAATAAATTACATTTAATTTTAACCTAGGTACTCCAGTTACTACAGTAACTTACCAGCCTTAATTGTTATGATATATATCTACGTGTTTTTACATTGTTCCTGTCTTGGCAATTCAGTATTTTAAACAGGTTTTTTAAACCTGCATGTCAGTATAACAATTGAAATCTTAAAACTAAAAACTTAATCTTATCTAAGTATAAAGGGAATTAATCGTTGCAATTGAGGATTGCTACGATTTTTGCCTGAAATTATTAATAATTTTGTTTGACATTTGTTCTTAAGTCTCAACATTCGAAATTCTATGTACTTCGGTTGTACTTTACCAGGGAGGCAACTTCAAAATCATCTTCAGAACTTTGTTCTGAATCCTTTGGAGTGCTTTTTTCCTGGTAGTGCAACAACTAGACCATATTGGCACAACGTAAAGCATGGCCGGTCTAAAGACTTGTTTAAATATTAGAAGTTTATTCGTCAGGCAAAGTTTGGATTTCTTGTTTATAAGAGGCAACAAACATTTTATATATTTAATAAATTTGGCCTCAATGTGATCTTGGTTTAACCAGGAAATTGGAACTCCGTTCATAGTGACTATTATGTGACTACTACTATGTTTAAAAAAGGAAGCTCTAAACTTAAGTTGAGTTTTGGAAGCGTTGGGAGAAATCTTCCATTTTTGTAAATAAGTCTGCTGCAAATAACACGAAGACTTCTTCCTTTAGCGGAAATGCCTGTGTCATCAGTGAACAAAGATTTGTAGCAACCCTGAGGCAAATCAGGGAGGTCCGAAGTAAAAATGTTATACAATATAGGCATATGCGTAGCCAGAGAGGGGCAGGGGGAGGGTCGACTATCCCCCCTAAACTCAGTAACACAAAGGCTTTCGGGGAAATGGCGCTCGGTAAAATGGCATTCGGCCAACTTTTCCATAATATTTTTTTTACCCTCCCTAGCTCGAAACCTGGCTACGCCCTTGAATATAGGCCCAAGAATGCTACTCTGAGGAACTCCTGCTCTAACAGGTAGTCGATTAGATTTGGAATTTTGATAATTTACCTGCATAGTTCTGTCAGTTATATAATTTTGAACTAATTTCATAGTATAAAGTGAAAAATTAAACTTTTTCAATTTAGCAATCAAACCTTTATGCCAAACACTGTCCAATGCTTTTTCCATGTCTAGAAGAGCAACTCTAGTTGAGTGGCCTTGAGATTTGTTTGAACAAATAAAATTGGTAACTCTTAACAGTTGAATGCCCATGGCGAAATCCAAACTGCTCATCTGCAAAAATTGAGTTCGTATTGATGTGAAGCATCATTCTATTCAAAATTATCTTTTCAAAAAGTTTACTTATTGATGAAAGCAAACTTATTGAACGGTAGGTAGAAGCTTCAGCTGGATTTTTATCCGGCTTCAAAATTGGAACAACTTTTGCATATATCAGGAAAGTATGCCAAATTCAAACATCTCTTAAATACTGTTACAAAGAAAGACACGGTACTCTCAGGGAGTTTTTTTTTATGAGGATATAGAAAATTCCATCATCACCTGGAGCTTTTTAATTTAGTTTTGGAAATCCCGCCAGATAACTTTCATGGCAGCATCGCGTATTCTTTGATATTGTCTCCTACGGACATTTTTAAGACGGATCAAGAGCTGAAGATCGTCGTCTGTTATAATTGAATCGAATTTAACCTCGCATTTTGGTACTGAGGCAGCTCTTGCTTCAACTATAGAAGTAGTAAAAGATTCAAGAGCATAATTAATTTCATTTTTGTGTCATTTTTGGTTTGCAAAGGAATGTTTGGATCGAAGTTATATTTCATAAATGTTCGATATTGCTCCCAACCAGCTCTATGGTAATTGAAAGTAGAGCTGTTGGGATTACAAATTATTTCTTGGGATATTTCAAAAGTTACTGGAAGGTGATCAGAACCGAAGTCAGCATGGGTTACCAATTGGCTACAAAGTTGACATGAATCAGTTAAGACCAAATCAATAGTTGAGGGATTTCTTGCAGAAGAAAAGCATGTTGGGCTGTTTGGATATTGAATAGTGTAATAACCTGCAGAACAAACATCAAACAGAATATTACCATTGGAATTGCTTTGAGCATTATTCCATGAGCGGTGTTTTGCATTGAAATCACCAATAATGAAGAATTTAGACATATGACGGGTAAGTTTCTGAGCGTCACCCTTGAGAAAATTCTTTTGCTGGCAGCTATAAACGTAAATTGTCCAAATTTTGTTTTAACAGAAACTATCAAAGTTTCAAAAACTTTGGTTTCAAATGAAGAAAGAATTTTATGTTCGATTCGTCTATGAACAATGACGGCAACGCCACCACAGGGTCCATCAAGACGATCATTTCTATAAATCAAATAATTTGCGTTCCTTTTAACCTTATGGCTATGTCTAAGGAACGTTTCTGTTATAACGGCAATATGCACGTTATGAACTCTAAAAAAGTTGAATAGCTCGTCTTCATTATCTTTAAGAGATCGAGCATTCCAATTTAAAATATTTAATGCTTTAAAATCCATTACTGTAATTCAAAGTCATGACAATATTGTTTGCAAATTTTACTCCAGTTTGAATAGCATCAAACATGGAGTTAGATTCTCCAGAAATTCTTCCCAAAATTCACTTGAAATTATTCTTAGAATTCCCTTGAAATTTTTCTCAACATCCCTTTGGAATTTCATTCAAAATTTGATTCTCTCGTTATTCTTATCTTGGAACTATCTGCAGGATTCACTAGAAATTATTCGTAGAATTTTCATGGAATCATCCGCAGAAATGTTTTCTTTTAGAGCTGTTCTCAGAATTCAAAACCCTTGAGGTTCTTCTCGGAAGTCAAGTTTAAGTTGTCCGCCCATTTGTTGTAGTTTTTCTACCAGAAATGTTCAATAAAGCTTGCCCCTCCTTTCCCCAGAACTGTGCATTTTTTACATCCGGAATTTTCAATTCAGCTTGTCTCTCCATGTAGCAGATTGTTGCAAATCTTACATTAGAAATTTTCAATACAAACTTGCCCCCAGTAAATTTTACACCAGAACATTTCAATTGATCAGAACGATGCAAATTTTCCACCGTTAATGTTCAATGACAATTGCTTCTCCAATCTTCTGATTGGTGCAGATTTCCTTTTTTCCATTTTCCACCAGACATTTTCAATATAGCTTGCTTCTCCTATCATTAGAATGTTGCAGGTTTTCCACCAAATAAAGCTTGCCCCTATTTTCAGACTTTTCATCATAAATTGATAGTAAAGCAGCTTCCCTCCAATCATCAGAATGGTGCAAATTTTACACCAGAAATTAT